AATCACAATTATAACAATGAAATGGCATGAAACACAAATTGGTAAATACAAACAAATACGTATTACACTTTGACGATATTTTAGGCATATTCTCACATGAAAGAAAGAGGTCTGAAGAAAGACTATATGTGGTGCTTCTAAGATTAGCTACCCTATTAGCCGCCCACTTAAAAATAAAGGACAAAAGAAAAATAAAAAAAATAAAAAAGTAAGAATCTTCACTGCCTATTTTATTGTCATCAACATATGGCTTAATTTTTCAACGACCGTCAAGCCTGTTTATAATTTTGTGTTGCTGTTTCTCTGTCCGTGTGCACGATAACTTTCTTATAAACAAAAAAATAGTACACATGTCCTTAAAAGTATAAGAAAGGTAGCTATTGTTGTTAAGCTACGTAGACTATCAGTGCACAAAGTTATAACCCGAAAACATCTCAAAATTCCGATTAAAAAAAGATTCATTTTTTAAGTCTTGTTGCAAAGAAAATATGAATGCACGGTTTTCTGTGTAAGTAAATATTCCTTAAACCTCAAGAAACTATGCAGATGAATAAAAAATAAAATTTGAGCATTTGCAACTTTTGTATTTGCACAATCCATTTTAGCGCATTTTTTAAGAATTAAAAAAAAATGTGCTTCTTATTGCGTTTTTTGTCTATCCGTTCGAACCCACTCGCAAATCTTAACAAAACATGATGGGGGCGATTTTATGCTAAAAAGGTCGCATCCATTGCCTTACCAGACTACGAGTTGGGTTCCAAAGGTCACCATGTTTAATAAACTTCATTATAAAATTGTGTTCAACCAAATTAGTTGCGTATGTTGACCAATAAAAACATTGCCTGCATGACGTTGTTTTTATTATCCCACCTGTACCATTGCACTGGGAGGAGAACAAAAGTACATTGTTGTACTATTTATTACGTGTAAACCTTATTATTTGGTCCATTGATTACATAATTTTAGGCTAAACAGGACGCATCAATTGCTTTAAAATATGGTACCCAAAACCACCATGTTCAAAAAACATTTTTTTGCAAATTTCATTAAAGAATTGTGTGCAACCTATTAAGTTGCGTATGTTGGCCAATAAAATGCATTTCCTGCATGACATTGCCTTATCACCTACTCTACCGGTACTCTGGACTGGGAGGAAAACAAAAGCTTTGGCAAACCATTTATTTTGCGCAAACTTTAACAAAAACGATTGGGCTATTTATTGATTAATTTTAGACCAAACAGGCCGCATCAATTGCTTTACCAAAATATGGTACCCAAAGCCACCACGTTCAAAAAACATTTTTTTACAAATTTCACTAAAGAATTGTGTGCAACCTATTAAGTTGCGTATGTTGGCCAATAAAATGCATTTCCTGCATGTCATTGCCTTATCGCCTACTCTACCGGTACTCTGGACTGGGAGGAAAGCAAAAGCTTTGGCAAACCATTTATTTTGCGCAAACTTTAACAAAAACGATTGGGCTATTTTTTGATTAATTTTAGGCCAAACAGGCGGCATCAATTGCTTTACCAAAATATGGTACCCAAAGGCACCACGTTCAAAAAACATTTTTTTACAAATTTCACTAAACAATTGTGTGCAACCTATTAAGTTGCGTATGTTGGCCAATAAAATGCATTTCCTGCATGTCATTGCCTTATCACCTACTCTACCGGTACTCTGGACTGGGAGGAAAGCAAAAGCTTTGGCAAACCATTTATTTTGCGCAAACTTTAACAAAAACGATTGGGCTATTTATTGATTAATTTTAGACCAAACAGGCCGCATCAATTGCTTTACCAAAATATGGTACCCAAAGGCACCACGTTCAAAAAACATTTTTAAAGAATTGTGTGCAACTTATTAAGTTGCGTATGTTGGCCAATAAAATGCAAATGCATTTCCTGCATGTCATTGCCTTATCACCTACTCTACCGGTACTCTGGACTGGGAGGAAAGCAAAAGCTTTGGCAAACCATTTATTTTGCGCAAACTTTAACAAAAACGATTGGGCTATTTATTGATTAATTTTAGGCCAAACAGGCCGCATCAATTGCTTTACCAAAATATGGTACCCAAAGCCACCACGTTCAAAAAACATTTTTTTACAAATTTCAATAAAGAATTGTGTGCAACCTATTAAGTTGCGTATGTTGGCCAATAAAATGCATTTCCTGCATGACATTGCCTTATCACCTACTCTACCGGTACTCTGGACTGGGAGGAAAACAAAAGTGCTTTGGCAAAGCATTTATTTGCGCAAACTTTAACAAAAATGATTGGGCTATTTATTGATTAATTTTAGGCCAAACAGGCCGCATCAATTGCTTTACCAAAATATGGTATCCAAAGCCACCACGTTCAAAAAACATTTTTTTACAAATTTCACTAAAGAATTGTGTGCAACCTATTAAGTTGCGTATGTTGGCCAATAAAATGCATTTCCTGCATGACATTGCCTTATCGCCTACTCTACCGGTACTCTGGACTGGGTGGAAAACAAAAGTGCTTTGGCAAACCATTTATTTTGCGCAAACTTTAACAAAAACGATTGGGCTATTTATTGATTAATTTTAGGCCAAACAGGCCGCATCAATTGCTTTACCAAAATATGGTACCCAAAGCCACCACGTTCAAAAAACATTTTTTTACAAATTTCACTAAAGAATTGTGTGCAACCTATTAAGTTGCGTATGTTGGCCAATAAAATGCATTTCCTGCATGACATTGCCTACTCTACCGGTACTCTGGATTGGGAGGAAAACAAGTGCTTTGGCAAACCATTTATTTTGCGCAAACTTTAACAAAAATGATTGGGCTATTTATTGATTAATTTTAGGCCAAACAGGCCGCATCAATTGCTTTACCAAAATATGGTACCCAAAGCCACCACGTTCAAAAAACATTTTTTTACAAATTTCACTAAAGAATTGTGTGCAACCTATTAAGTTGCGTATGTTGGCCAATAAAATGCATTTCCTGCATGACATTGCCTTATCACCTACTCTACCGGTACTCTGGACTGGGAGGAAAACAAGTGCTTTGGCAAACCATTTATTTTGCGCAAACTTTAACAAAAATGATTGGGCTATTTATTGATTAATTTTAGGCCAAACAGGCCGCATCAATTGCTTTACCAAAATATGGTACCCAAAGCCACCACGTTCAAAAAACATTTTTTTACAAATTTCACTAAAGAATTGTGTGCAACTTATTAAGTTGCGTATGTTGGCCAATAAAATGCATTTCCTGCATGACATTGCCTTATCGCCTACTCTACCGGTACTCTGGACTGGGAGGAAAACAAGTGCTTTGGCAAACCATTTATTTTGCGCAAACTTTAACAAAAATGATTGGGCTATTTATTGATTAATTTTAGGCCAAACAGGCCGCATCAATTGCTTTACCAAAATATGGTACCCAAAGCCACCACGTTCAAAAAACATTTTTTTACAAATTTCACTAAAGAATTGTGTGCAACCTATTAAGTTGCGTATGTTGACCAATAAATGCATTGCCAGCATAACACTGTTTTATCCCCTACACCACCTGTTAGGACCATTACACTGGAAGGGGAACAAAATTGCTTTGGTGAACCATTTATTTTGCGTAAACCTTACAAATAAAACATTTTTCGGTATGGTGATTACTTATTGAAAAAATGCAAATTTAAAACAAATTATAAATAGTTTAACATATCAATTCAAAATTTCTCAAAAACTAAGAGACTCGCCAAAAACTGTGATTGACTTTTGAACATGGGTAGAACTTGTTACCCTCTCCTTTTTTTTATGCGAGCACTAATTTCATACAATAGGCACTTTGCTTTATTGGAAATGAAAACACTAGTTTAGGGTAATTTACTATGAATTTAAAAAATCCTTAAATGTTAAACTGCAATGTCTCGTTTTGAAAATCAAAACGGCACAGAAGGAAGTAGAAAACCATTCGAATTATTTATTTACGTAATCATCTTAGTACCGTATAAAAAGAATACAGAATATGCAGGTCAGGAAAAGAAAAACTAAATAATTGCATGTCAGATGATAACGACCTTAAAAACGCAAGTTCAGTAATTTTAATACGTAATATAACTGACCTGATTAATATTTTAGACTTGGCAACGTGGTCGGGACTCGCATGTACGCTGAGAGTGCCAATTATATACAGCGGGCCTCGCATGTTCAATGGATATACCACAGGGCCTCGTATGTACATTGCACATTTGTATATCTGAATTTTCTAAAAACATTACCCCTCAAGGGCGGATGTTGTTAAGTATCATTAGGACACTCCAAAAAACCAAAATTTATAATTTTACAAGTGGTCTTTATGGCGGGCCTCGGGTGGCCTGTTCGATATATCGGGCCTCGCTTTTATAGATACTTACGTATATATAACAGTATATTAATCGATTTGCTCCCATGTTTATGCCTCGATAGCATTATACAGGCGAGTATACAGTGTGTTTCAAAAAATCCGATATCCGATATTTTATCCACGTAATGTGCTCATGAAAAAGAAGCCAAAAAATCTTAATAAACACAGGTCCGCAAACTAGTGTTTCATAAATAGAGACCTTTGTGTCTACATTTAAATATTTTTGTTTTCCTACAGTTGAATTGTCTGTGTACAAATTGAAAGAGGATCTATAAATTATTTTACGCATAAAGAAACCGTTTGTTTTAATAATGTAATTTGTTGAAAACAATACAAAATCAACTCGTATCTCTTCAACAAATTACATTATTAAAACAACCAAACGATGTTTGTTAATGCGTAAAATAATTAAGGCTCTGTAGTACCTTTTCTAAATGTTCTTTTTTGACGAAATAATTAATAATAATAATAATAATAATAATAATTTATTGTCTCTGATCAACGTTATTGACATAGATATGGTCACAATGAAAGTTTGGTATAAAAAACACACATATACATAAAAATTACAAAAGAACAAAATATAAATAATATTATATCACATATTCTATCACATGTACATGTCAGTTGCCTTGTAAAAACATTGGTCCATTAGGTAGTTTTTAAGTGCAGCTTTAAATTTATTTTTATTTTTAATTTTTCTAATATCTGAAGGAAGTCCATTAAATGCCTTTACACAATTGTATAATGGACTTCTTTCATATTTGGCTGTAAAATGGACTGGGACGGTCAACACTTGAGAGTTTCGGGTGGAGTAAGTGTGATTGTCACCTAGTGGAAGAAAATAGTTCTCGTGTCTATTTGCATTTACAAACATACATAATTTGTAAATGTAAATACTCGGGAATGTGCCAAATGAAAACGTTGATAATAACTCTTAAAAAATATTTTAAAAATGCCGAAGTTTTGGTCGATTTTGCACGAACTTGCTATTTTCAAAAAGGGTTATACCTAGTTGGACGGATTAAGCTGATATTTTTTCAGACTAATGATAGGTATTGTTAGTGACTTGACACTTATTTTTTTAAATTTTTTCTCTAATTATAAGATATAAATTGTTAAAAATGATGCTTTTTTACCATTTATATCGTATAATAAGAGAAAAGATGCTAAAAAATAAGAGTGTTAAGTAACTAATAGAAGTACCAGAAAACAAAATCGGTTTCGTTCATCCAACCTTAACCAAGATGGGAAAGTATAAAGTTCGTGCAAAATCGACCAAAAATTGTTTTTACGGAGTTATTAAGTTTTTTTTTTTATTTCAAAGTTGTTAACGTTTCCATATGGTGTATAACGTATTTTGTAAAAAACAAGAACATTTAGAAAAGTTGTAGGAAAGGTACTGCAGAAGTTTAAAGCAGATGCTCTAAGTACTTAAGTCAAATGTAGGGAAACAGAAATATTTAAATTAAGGCACAAAATCAACTCTATGTCTGAAATAATTAGCTTGCGGACCTATGTTTATTAAGACTTTTTGGCATCTTTTCATGAGTACCTACTACACGTGGATAAAATATCTATAGGACCTTTTTTTGTTAAAACACCCTGTATAACGTACTTAAAGTGATAACGATATAGAATAAATACCTACATAAAAATGTATACTTACTCCTCTTTGTTCTTGTAGCGCTCCAAGATCCCTAGCCCCTTCTGGCTCGGTAGGGTTTAATGGTTCCCCAGATAGAGGTATATTATTGCCACTAATATCTTCTAATAAATAATCCTCAGTTGCCCATGAGGTACTCGCAATCTCGGCAGCACCGGGTATAACCTTATAGTAATAGAAACATCGATTATAAATTTATCAACATGATATGCCGGTAGGTTCCTACTTCCTAGCGATATCAAAATTTCTGTGAATTATTCCCGTTTTTTGGTTGATGATTATTGTTGATGTGAATCATCAAATAAACGAACCTAGCCACCAGTGATGTCTTCTTTAATAAACGAGGAGATTACGGCGAATAATGCAGGCGTTTTATCGTCCAGTCTCCAGTCAGTAAAAATACACAGAAATCAAGAAAATTTTCCTCAGCCAAACAGGATGTGCCTCTCTAAACATTTTTGACTTCATTTTTAAAAATATCTTATTTTCATTGGAAAAACGGTATCGACAGGATCAACGGAAATACTGAGGGAAATTAGGCAAATACACAAATTTCGTGATATAAACGACGCGTTCCGTTGGGACGAAATTTTTCAATTTTGTATATGCTATCAGACATTCGTGGACGAAATTTTTCCGCTTTTATAAGACTTTATAGTAGGTTTTAAGAAACGCCTTCGGACTGATTCAGGATCGATCAGATTCAAAATAAATAAATTTTGAAATCAAATGGAACCAAATGGATAACTACGAATAAGGTAATTTACATAGATTCGAACCCCTTCCACTTCACTAATAAATTTCCAACAGCCCAACGTTCACTATTATCATTGAATAATTTATTCAATGCTATTATGTACATATTTTAATTTCTTTGTAAATTGTTAGAGCCAATTTAAATCCACCGGCAATGCATCTCTGTTTATAATCGATTTAAATTTACCCTAAGAAATTTACACACACTACGGATTGCACCTCGGATTGTACTTACTGGTAATGGAGACGATTGTGGAATTTCGTTAATTATCATCTTCCAGTGATCCAAATGCCCCTGAAATTGGGCTCTGTCGCCTATTGAAGGTATTAGTTCTTTTACCATTTCTGGTGTTAGGAACGGTAAAGTGTCCTTTTTTACGTTTTGTTCTGAAATATAATATGATTAAATCCAATGTTTTCTGTTCTAGATGCAAAATATCAATTTGTTATGTTTGGGGTGTAATTCCTATGTCGCCAGTAGTAAATAAAACATCTTTACATTAATTACCTAAGTACCACCTATATTTCGACGAGATGTTGTCGTTTTCTACCTTTCAGTTTCTCCCTGGTAGGCATGGGAATTTTTTTCGATATATCGATAGGTATCGATAGTTATCGATATATCGAATAACAATAGGTAGAGCTAAAAAAATCGATATATCGATAACTATCGATATATCGATACCTATCGATAGTAATCATATATCGATAACTATCGATATATCGATAACTATCGAAATATCGATAACTATCGAAATATCGATAACTATCGACATATCGATAGTTATCGATATTTCGATAGTTATCGTTATATCGATAACTATCGACATATCGATAACTATCGATATATCGATAACTATCGATATATCGATAACTATCGATAACTATCGACATATCGATAGTTATCGATATTTCGATAGTTATCGATATATCGATAACCATCGATATTTCGATAATTATCGGCATATCGATAAGTAAAATATATCGATAGGTAAGTACCCGATACTTATCGATAGGTGAAAACAGTTATCGCCCATCCCTACTCCCTGGGATTGCAGAGGAAGACGCGTAAAAAATCTACGTGATAAAGATGTTTTATAAACATTAGGTAACAGCATTGCATAGGTACATTTTATTCAATGGTAACAGGTAACATGGAAATAAACCCAACAACCTTTCTTAGTCAACGTTTTATGATAATGAAATACTCGTACTTATACGTTTGAATACGTCGACATACTGGGGCAAACCCCACGTATGCAAATACGCCACCACATCTTCATCTGCCATTTCCGATACCGCACTAACTTTCAAAAACACTAAAAATATCTGTTACTTATGGCCACACTTTAGAAACGTTCGCAAATCGCAGTAACTAATGGCTGGTAAGCATAAGAACGCCAGAAACTACTAACAGTACCTACTGCACGAACTGCGAAGGGCGAACAATGGAAATTCAACATCCTTAACAAAAAGTTGGATATTATTACACTGACGCTAATGCTTATAACAAATCACACGTAGGAAAAATACAGTAAAAATTGTACAGTACTCACTTTGTAATAGTAAACGAATGCTTTATTTTTTCTGTGCAGCAATACTTTTTTGCTTCCATCAACACTTTGATTATGTGGGAGTAGCAAACCTAATGTTATGAATGCAGTATAAAATTATAACTTAATACCTTTGTAATAATAACTAATCGTGTGATTATAAATTCATACCATTTGGTAATAACAACTAAATGTATTTTACCGTAATGGGGGTGCGTTCAATACTTCTTGGTATACAACCAACACAATTTGTTTTTGTAAAGATAAAGAAAATTTTGCATCTATAGCAGAATACAAAATTACCGAAATTCTGGTAATATTATTTCTTTCAGTGTGAGTCGTTGAAAGAGTAAACTACAAAGAACCTTGGAATGTTCCAAAAATGTCCTAGAAGAATCACTTCAGTTTTCGAATAAGTTTAAAGTTTGGCTCTTCGAGTCGAATCGAAAAAAAGTTAATGCTCAAGTAGCGACACATTTTGACTGACCCTACTGTAAGTGTAACCTTCAAATATTTACACAATTTAAATTTCAAAGTGGAAACGCAATTGAATTAACATTGGAAAGCGCCTTGAATACTTTATAAGGAAACAGAAGAATTGAAAGAAATGAATAAAATGTTGACAATTAGAGGGATATTAGCCGGCACAAAAAGACGAACTTCAAATCCAATATCGTGCTAGAAACGCGTAACACGTTCTCCCTTGGAACGTGTTGGGAATTTACATCAATAATGGTACAGCAATATTTCAGAAACTAAATTGAACGTCAACATATAGGAGAGACGATTCACTTCCGCTCAACAAAACAAACATTAGGAAAGTGCATAACATTTTATGGCAAAAAAAAAACGTGAGCGGCCTCAAAAAGATGTCCCCGCCCGAGATCCGGAAAACTAAAAGCAATTTCATTCAATTACGGAAATCGATACGGCGAGTTTTCAAAGCCCTCAAGAATTTACAAAGTCGAGTTTATTCTACCGGAATGTCAATTAGAGGGAGAAAATCGTCTATTTGGTCCGGTGCCTCATTATTTCGTAGTAATTTAAATAACACGCTCGAGACGGTTTCTTTTGATAAGACCATGTTTCGGTCGGGTTTCGTATAAAAAAAACCTCAAAAGTATTTTTGTTATACGTGATTTATTGAAGGGGAAAGCTGCCAAAACAAAATTAATTATCGAAATGAGCCCGAGGGTAGTAGATAAGAGAGTAGGAAAAATCTGAATTTAAAAAACTTATTTTTGAAATGTCAGCTTCGGATTCTTCGCTCAGTTTTCGATGGATATAATTTAGTAGTTCTTTTGTACAGTGTTCATCGTAATTCATAATTCCAATGCAGATTTATAAATCAGATTTTTCTAGGTTAAGAGAATATCTGAGCAGAGAGAAATTATTTTTTATTTAGACCCTGGTCCTGGGATTCTGAAGCAACAGGAGAAATTAGTATACAGCGAAATTTACGTGTGTTATTTTTCCCTATGTCTACTTTTAAATGACAAAATCTCTTCTGAAGGGCGCCTAATTTTATGCAGCTAACATAACTTTAAAACAAATAAACATTCGGCTGTCATATTAATTAATTTAAATATTGTTGGACTTAACAGAAAATAAATCTTTTACGCGTCTTAAACTGCTTCCGGTACTATACCAATTGACGTATAATAACTCTCGCCAGGAAAGATTGCCGGTCAGAGAAGACCTGATGCCGGTCTACAATCTGTGTTTCTCTAAAGATGTGAGCGACTCCTAGGATAGGCATTTTGTCGCCAGATTCTTTCACATTTGAAATAGTAACTTTTGTTTTAAATGTTTTTGTGTTTAGAAATAAAGTTACTTACAAAATAATTTCTCATCCTTCATTATCAGTACCAACTGTAAACAGTTGGCTATTGGCTATTGGCATATTACATATATGATTGTGAATAAAATTACTTACAGTTTTTTAAACAATAATCCCTTAATCCGGTGGTAGCAACGGTCGTGCGATGTTCCGACGCACTTATCACTGATACAAAAACACCCACTGAAAGCTTTAGGAAACTTCACCACTGTTCTACTCCATTGTCACAATGATAACACAAACTGGCCTTAAGTAACACAATTTCTAATTTTTAATGCGATGACTGTTCAAACGGGTAACACTTCGACTTTTATTACACCTTTTAAACAAGGTCTCGTCATGCACTACAAACTGATTTTTCAACAACGTAACTTCTTCCGTAAACGGAGAGATCATATTAACTTCTCACAAGACTTTAACGTCAACTACTTCTGCACTGATTTTAGCTTCGACGAAAGTACGTTTTTAAACAAAAAGAAATAACAATTGCTCACCCGTCGTGATTTAAACACTTCCTTGTTTTTCCTAATTAAGGTAAACCATCATTCTCCTACTACTACTACTAAATAAAGGCAAAAAAAAAATGCATTCGACCGGCTGTTTTAACATTCTAACACGCAATTTTTACTTCTTAACATTTAAATAAACAAATTAAGACGGAGGATAAAGTTTCAACAAAGAATTAAGCGTATTGTATGAGACGAAGCAAATACTAAAGAAAGAACCTCACAGAAGTATGACACGACCAGTAAATTCCTTGAAAAAGGCAGACAAAAGTCTCGAGTCAAACGTGAAATCGATTTACAAGTCAAACAAACCTGAAATACGAAGCCCCCCCCCCCCACTTTTTAAATATTGGTTAACCAAATGTACCAGGTGGCATAGAAACCAGCGACAAACGTTGCAGGAGGGGGGGGGGGGCAAGTTAACGGTCACATGTAATATTTTTCTAAGTACCAATGCCCTACAACAGGTACCTACTATTATCCTCTCAAAGGAAATATATTAATATCCCCCCCACATACTATTGAAGGATGCCACTAAGTCAGCGGGGCACAAAACGTCAAAATGTTACTCCAAAATTTTTCTTGAATAGGTAGCCTCTATGTAAAAGGTGTGCAGCACGCCCTTCAATGTTTTGTCTTAAAGCACCCGTCGATTTGCTTATGTAGCAAAATGTCCTTCTTTCTCGAAACTTCCCGAACGCTTCCGAACGCACCCGAGTATTCTAGAATGTTCTCGTACAAACACGTCATATTTCCCTGAAAGATTGCTTCACATCCGCCTTGGTTCTTTATCGCCGATGACTAATCTGTCATTGCATCTCGATGTGTTTTTGGAATAGTCGTTACATACGATTATTTCATGGCTAGATTTCGACTTGATAGCTCTTCCTTCAACTTTTGCGGAGTTTTTGCTTTTTTTTCTTCGACTTTTTCAGTTTTATTCCCCGAACCAATGTGCGATTTCGCCAATCAGGAAGCCCGAAAGCCGCTTATTCTCACTTCTCAAATCCACCTAATATCATAACCACTGACATCCACTCATTTGACTTCTTCGGATTCCTTCCTAAACGATAGCAATATTCACAGGGCGTCATGAAAATCTCGCGCAGTAGCAATCAAGTCTCATATCGTGCCAAAAGACTCTTCTCGTCTCGCGTTTCCTACGAGAGTCACTGTCTCATCGTACATAACCTATTTCTTCTAATTTTCATACTAAATTTATTAATTAACTAACTATACAGGGTGTTTGTTAAACATGCGGCAAAAATTAAAGAGGTAATTCCTCAGAATATTCTAAGGATCTTTTATCCTGACGTTTTTGAAAAAGCGATTTGTTGCGAAGATTGATTTTGAAAGAATCGGGGAGTCGATGAGGAAAAATTAAGAAAGTATACATGGAATTTTTATCTTAATTATTGTTGAAAAATGTTTCGCCCTGTAAATTGTTGGTTAGAACGAAAGGATGAAGCACCGTAGTATTTTTTTAAAATTCAATTTCACACAGGGAATAGAAAGTGACAAATTTAGATTAGATCCAAACATAAAATTGAGATGAATAGTTCAAGGTTGTGGCAAGTTATGCCTTTTGGGTTGCCTATACGTATGTGGTATGTAGAAGAAATTAAGATCAGTAGCGGGCGAAAACACACATTTATCTGGCCATTTTAAACGTTTTGCAGCTTAACAATATATTCTGTGATTCCGAACATAAAATGCAGAATCAGTAACGTGTGTCCATTTGAAACTTTTTGCAGCAAAATAACAGAAATAAGTATATGATCGTACGATTCTGTCGTGCTCCGCAGATGTTCTGTTTCGGTCAGTTGTTTTGTGCACCGTGACTCCCTCAGCAACGCGCAAGCGCTTTAATGTCAATTTTGCCCGTTTCCTGTTCACTCCATGTGTTCACTAAAGTTTACTCATGTGGTAGTTGGTAGTCAGGTATCAGTTTCAGTTAAATTGGTAAAAATTTTGTTACTTTGCCTTTGTGTTTTGTTTTTGCGGCTGAGGAGGTGAGTCTAACTTTAAAAGTCTTGCATCTTATCATATTTTGTTCCAGCTATAACCTATAACAATTAACAAAGACTTGTAACTCGAGGAGAACAGGTTAACAAAGACTTGTAACTCGAGGAGAACAGGTGAGTACGCACAAATTTTGTAATTTCTATAGAAAATTAGAATCATTTAATAGAAACCCAGATTATTGCGACCATATAGATTCTTTTCAGATTCTTTGAGATTCTATAAAATTAAGATTAAGACGTACTTACTGAACTGAACATTTAGTAGTGGTTAATTTGAATCGTTCATTTCTGTGTATTTTGTGAAATTGGCTCTAAATATTCTGTATCATTACATTATTAGTAGTTTATCATTATGCCTCGGAGAAAGGTTGAGTTGAGTTCTGAGGAAGAAGTGGAGTTAATTAAACTTAGGCGAAAAAAGAGGACTGAAGCAGAACGCCAACGGAGAGAAACTATGCGAACTAGCAAAC